CATGAAGCACAATGAAATTAGGTCAAAGAATGTCCTAAACTTTCTGAGCATAAGATGGTGGACTAGATGAGTAGGTTATACATTTAACTTTTCATGCATCTTTCATACAGGTGTAAAAGGGATTAATATTTGTTAAGACCAATGCTAAATCTCAACAACCTAGTATATCCACAATTTCCAAATTTTTAAATCTAATTTTATACAATTATTTTCTACAATTATTCAAAAAAAAATAAAAGACAGTCATTCTCAATATCTTATATCTTAATTTATGACATTACTTGGACCTGAGAAAATACCTTCCAGTCACAGGCAGATGGGACAATCTTGATTCTTGATGCTGGGAAATTTGTGAATGTGTCTACAGCTTCCTTAGCAAACTCTTCCTTTATGCAAGCCCATGGCCTATTGCAGAGGCCCCAAATTGGTTACATCAGAAGTATCCATGGCTTTAAGTGGAGAAAAGACAAGAAATAAAAGTAGAATAATTCATATGTTGAAATGATGATGGAAGAAGATTGACCTGTTTTCTCGGTCTAGTGTTATCAGTGATGTCAGGTTCAGAGGGAGGTGAGTGAAGAGAATTCCTACATAGAACATCTCATTAGAAAGGAAACTTAAACCCTGAGAAGAACTCCTCACTCCCAACCTCCTTCTGCCCTTCCCATGGAGGGTCACTGTGGTCAGAGGGTGCTGGGCTCTCCCACAAACATATAACAACTTTAATGTATAATGTGTACATTCTCCTATCAGACGAATGGTTTAGAAATACATTCTTTATGTTTATGTTTGTATTTTCATTTGCACAATGGAATCATTGATGGGATAAATGCTTTTAAATTTAACCAAGGCTAATTTAACAATATTTTCTTTATTGGGACTTGTTTTGGGTAATTTTACAAAGAACATCCCAGAAAATGTTGAGGTTCCACTACACTGTCCATGTGGATTGGCTACAGCAGCCACGGGGACTGGAGCAGGTTCTGGTACCAGAGGGGAGCACTGCTGGGAAACTACCCATAAATCTGGACGTGACTGTGGAACTGGGTGAGGGGAGAAAGCTGGATTTGTTTTAAGTCACATGACAAAAAATGCCTGATGTTCATGGACAGAGAGTTACTGGGCATATGGGTTTAAAGCCTCCTCCAGTGAAGGCCCCGTAGGAAGTACAGGGCATAATAGAGACAACTTGTATCATCTTATGAAATAATGATGAGTAGGCATTTGTTAGAAATAGAAACATTAAAGATCATGCAGGCAGGGATCAAGAGAAATAAGGAACGTGTAATTGCAAACTGGTGGGTAGGGGATCCCTGTTTCCTACATGCACATTCTCACAGTGTCTCTGTTCTAGAAGATAACACCTTCTCAGGTCCAGGGGATTCTCATTTGAACACTTTTGGGGTCCTTACTCACATGGTCACACCATGAATCACTGATGCCTGAAAATTTTGGATTGCATTTGTGAAATCTCTCAACACTGACAGGGAAGAGTAGACACCCCTCACAGGAGGAGCCATGGTGATGGAGTGTCTGTATGAAGATCCTTCATTTCATTGGACCAGGACCTTTATCTTAGTCCATCCTCATCATTATCAGCAGCAGTACCATAATTTCTCACTTATAATAGTTCTCATATTCTGTAGACATGGTGGTTATCCACACACAATGACTTTTTGTTAAATAATGAAAGCAGGCATCACCTCTCTTGCTGTCATTGAAAATTGAAATGACAATGGCCTCTCCTAAAATTGATAGAAGGCCTTGCAAGCAGCTGATGGCCTTGGCTAGAAGAGAGATCCCACCCATGACAATGGACCAAGCCCCCTATAAAATTCTATGGTCATCATCATCATCACCACCACCATTATCATAACCATTTGCCTATTTATAATTATTTTTCAGTTATAGTAGAAGTTGCTTTTGTACACTCATAATGATGGTTTAGCTCAATGTTTTCTCAATTTTTATAATTGTTAAGTAACATATGTACCCACACTTTGTTTTTTCCCCATTTGATTGCAGAAAACTGATGGCTCCTTCCTGCCTCTTCTCAGGTGGCCCCATGTGGGAATCTAAAAAGGAATGTTGAGTCTCCTCTCTAAATGTCAATAAGAAGTTGAAACCACACAAGCCCCTGTAGGAAGAATTCCTCCCTTCCCTCCTCCCCCGTTCATCGAAACAAAATTCCTGAGCCAATCTCCTTTCCTGGCTCCATCAAAGCAGGTCTGACTTCCTGAAGGACATTTCATGTGCTTGCCAGAGATTTCAACCATGTACATAATAAACATTCCATGTCCCTTGGTGTGTGTCTTTGTCACCAACCTGGAAATCTGCACCAAGCTGTTGTGGGTCCCTCTGCCTATTCCTGGTGTCACCTACTCTCTGTGCTATGAGCCTGATGACAATTCAATACCCTGCACCACTGGGGTCCGTCTTCTCTAACTTTGGGTTCACATACCTTTGGTGGCCTCTGTCCAGCATTCAGGTGAGCTGTACTGTTAAGTAAGCAGAGACTTTTGTTAGATTTAGGGGACGTGGGTCAGAAGATTTGATGATTAACTGCCATTTGTGCACAAGAGTGTCTGAAATGGACTCTCTACCTATTGTCAAAGTGATAAAGTTGTCCCTGTTTACAACAGACTTTCTAACTCAGAGACTTCAGAGGTAAGCACAGAGTCAGGAACCCAGAGGTTCTTTGAGGGAAACTGTGACATGAAGATGAAACCACACAGGAAATCAGCCCACACCTCCAACTGCACCTGCTGCTGGGATGGTCCTTGTGTTCAACTACCCCGCATGCCCCCTATGGTCACAGCTTGTACTGCAGGGAGGTTTGAGTCTGGGCTCACACTGACTCCCCTCACTGTGCCTCTTGTGCACAGTAATACAGGGACTTGTCCTTGGCTCTCAGGCTGCTCATTTGCAGGTTGGCAGTGCTTTTGGAATCATCTCTGGAGATAGTGAATCTGCCTTTCATAGATGCAGTGTATTCTGTGGTGTGATTGTTGCCTTTGTTTCTTATAAAACCTACCCATTCCAATATCTTTCCTGGGGTCTGACAGATCTAGCTTATATAATAGTCACTGAATGTGAGTCCTGAGCCTTTGCAGGAGAGTCTCAGAGACCCCCCAGGCTGCACCAAGCCTCCCCCATACTCCACCAGCTGCACCTCACACTAGACACCTTCAGACAAGAGAGTTGTCATTAGGAGCAGGCACACACCCTCACACTCACACACACTCACAAGGCCCAGCTTCTCCATAATGTTACCATGTAAGAGCATCAAAGCGAGAGCCCAGCTCAGCCCACACATCATGGTGCTTCCTCTCAGTTGACTCCTGGAGTGAATGGAAACTGCAGGTCCCTTGGGTGGGGCTGTTCTACCAGAGGTGCAGGGGGCAGGAGCTGGGTCAGGCTTATCAGAACAAAGAGCTCCCCATGTGCATGGGCTCCTCCCCTTAGGGACAGAGGAGTGGAAGTCCCTAGGGTACAGTCCTCTTTCCTCAGAGGGACAAGCACCTCCTGTGAGTGTGGAGAAGTTCATGAGGGGTGGCTCATCTGTGTGCTGCAGTGTGGCTGTTGTTAATACCACCATCATCAGTTACACCCTGTATAATTTACAATGATGTCCCACCTACTGGGCCAGGAGCTTCCTCAGCACTCTTTTTTAAGGGCACTAATCCCACTCATGAAAACTCCACCCTCAAGACCTAAGCAAGGCCCCAGGCCCCACCTCCTAACACCATCACCTTGGGTTTTAGGTTTTAATATGTGAGTATGAGGGACACATGCATGGTGCTCATAGCAGCAATTCAAGGATAAAACACAGCCCCACCAGTTGGGAGGCTGCTCCAATAGAGCTTCCCCACCTGAGGGTCCTTGTAATCCTGAGGGAGCTCCTGGTCTGTGAAGGCAGAAAGCTGAGCCACATCCTTCAGATCATGCTGATGACCTTGCAGAATGTGGTCTGCCCTTGACCTTGACCCAAGGCCTCTGGTTAATCCTGTTATTGTTCCTTATTAGTGCTTATAGGTGCTCATTATTCCCCTTTTTGAAGACCTAGAACTGTTTTCTGCCCACAATCATGGGTAACTCCTTGTGTTTACTCATATTTCATAGGCGTCAGTGGAATAAGTAGTCAGGCTCTATTTTTTATGTTTGATGCTGACATGTTAAGGTTCATCCTTCTCTCCTTTCCTGTCCACCTGGCAAACTGAAGAGAGAGAGACATTAAACCCACATGAGCCCCTCCCGTGAGCAGGATCCTCCCAGGCTCCACCAATGACCCAAAATAAAAACATGAACGAGTGTTCTTACCTGGGGAACCCTCATGACTTACTTGTTGAAAAGCCTGCCCTGCTCCCAACAGACACCTCCATGAAGTGATAAGGTCCCACTGTGTGAGAACATCATCAGGCTGCACATCCATTGCAAGGTACAATGGGTTCCTCTACTTTCCCTACATGGTGTCTCCTGCTATTGGTGCTATCAGAGTGACTACAAGTCAGTGACCATCACCACCAGTCTTTCTTCTCTACCTTTGGGGACACACTCCTCTGTGGCAAGATGTACAGCCCACATATCCTGCTGCTGACTGGGACATGAGTTTTGTGGGGCTGAGCTGCATTGTTGAGTCAGCAGAGCCTCTGGTTAGAATCAGGTGACTTGGGTCAGAGCATTTGATGTTTAATTGTTGTTTGGGCACAAGAGTGTCTGAGGGGCAGGCTCTGTGGTTTATCCATGTGAAAAAGTTGTCTCTGTTTACACTAAATTTTTCTAAATCAGAGATGTCAGAGGTAAGTGCAGATCTGGAATCTGGAGGTTCCTGTGGGAAACTGTGACATGAACAGGAAACCACAGGAAACCAGTTGGAACCTCCAACTGCACCTGCTCCTGTGATGGTCCTTGTGTTCAGGGACCCTGAGCTCCTCCTGGTGGTCACAGCCTCTCCTGAAGGGAGGTTTGTGTCTAGGCTCACACTGACTTCCCCTCACTGTGTCTCTTGCACAGTAATACACAGCCGTGTCCTCAGACTTGAGGCCATTGATCTGTAGATAGGCCGTGGTGACAGAGGTGTCCATGGAGAAGACAAATCTTTCTGAGAAGCCCTGGGCATATGTGGGTTTTCCAGTATTTGTGTTGATCCAGCCCATGTACTTTAGGCCCTTTTCTGGAGCCTGTATCACCCAGTGCATAGCATAGCTGGTGAAGGTGTATCCAGAAGCCTTGCAGGAGACCTTCACAGAGGCCCCAGGCTTCCTCACCTCAGCCCCAGACTGCACCAGCTGCACCTGGGAGTGGACACCTGTGGAGAGGAGACAAGAGTGGGTGGAAATCCTCCTTTACTCTAGCTGGTCCCCCCCTTAACCCAGGTACTGAGGATCCCCCTTACCTGTTGCCATGGCCATCAGGAGGAGGGTTCTCCAGCTCCAGTCCATGGTGAGGGGCTGTGCTGTGAGTACTTCAGTAGGGGAGAGTGTAGCTGTGGGTGATGCCCTCAGGACACACACTTATCCATATTTAACCTAGACTACCCCCTCTATTTTGCATATTCATGAAGTAGAGTATTTCATAGCTGAGTTCTTGACCCCACCTGAGAAAAGATGGATGACATAGGGACCAGGTTCAGTGAGAGTCTGAGGGTCCAAGTCCCAATCCTGGTTGGAGGATGTGTGTCCCCTGCCAGGGCCCTGACTTCTGTGCAGAAAGAGCTCCTCCCACTGAGGAACCAGCCCCCAAAGGACATGCTTCTCATTTTGGGCCCACCTTTTGATGACATGGGGCCACCTGGCCCAGCTCTGGGCTTTGATACCTGAATGTCTTCTTAAAACAATGTGTCTCTAAAATGATGCCTCTAGTGAGGTAATAAATCCATCCCTTCCCCAGTCCCTTACAATTCAGATATCCTGAAGCCATAGAAACACCCCTTTGTGTGTGGTTCTCATGTCTCATTGAGTTTGGTAAATGCTCTGATAGAGCAGGATATTCACAGTCACCTCAGCAGTCATGTCCAACTTTCAGTTTGGATTGTTTGTATGAAGAGAGGAAGCCCCAGGCCTCAAAGAAAATCCCAGCCCAGCTCCCTCTCACCTGATCCTGGGGCAGCAGCCTGTGATCTTGGGCCCTGAGCGCCTCCTGCTGCCCAGCCCTGGTTCTGCAGGGGAGGGTCCTGTCAGGGCTCACAGGGCATTGACCTCTCAGTGTCTCTAGTCCAGTAGTGAAGGCTGTGACCTGAAGACAGATTGCTTTCTCAGGGACACTGTGTTATTTTGACGACTGTAGACAGCATGACCTGGCCTTACTGAGACCCAATGGTGCTGCAGGGAGACCCAAACCAGAGCTTTAGGAAGTCAGCAGGGAGCCCTTCCCTGGAGTTGCCAGATGCAGGGACACAGCCAACCCTCACCTCATCCAAATGCTTCTAGGGGCTCTGGATCCTCTTACTAGTATGTCTTCAGGTCCCTTTTGTTGAAGGTCCCATCTGCACATCCTGGCATGTGGCCAAATCTCACTGCACTTCTATTTAATAAATCAAACACACACACACACACACACACACACACACACACACACACACTGTGATGATTTTCTTTGCTATGAAATCCACATTTGCCCCTCCTCCCTGTGCACAGCACATGGGCAAGGACCACATATGGATTCTAGGCCTGGATGTGACTTCTTTGGAAGCTGATCAAATGCACCCAGGATACAAACACAGGCTTTGAAGAGCAGGCACTCATGTGTCCATGTTCTAGCAGGACATGTGCATCCAGATGCAGGAACCGGTCAGGTTTGCTCCAGGGAGAGTCAGAGGTGGGGCTGGGTCACCCTTTGCTGCAGGGGTGTATTGTTGGGAGTCCCCTGGTGACCCACCTCAGGAAGCAGGGAGCACACCTCAGCACTGGGAGGAGAGGAGGCAGCAGCATTGTCAGCTGTTAGGTGAGGTTGCTCTCTGAGGTCACCTGGTTGGTAGGGCACATTGGACAGGTGAGTGAGACCAGCTTTGGGAGGGGCACCCTGTGTTCTCAGGACTTCTTGTTCCAGGACTGGCTAAGGGTGTGTCTTTTCTTGATGCTCCAACCTGATGATTAATTTCCCCATGAGCACCCGAGTCCCCCACCTCCCACATGGACACAGCTGATGTATGTTTCCCTATCATTAATGTTTTGCTCTCTGTATCCCTCTCCGTTCCCCCTTCTCTCTCTAAAAACAAATAATATATCAATTAATAAATAAAATATAGTGTATTCTCCTCCTCTAAATAAAGGAACTCTTACTCTTTGAGACAGAATGGAGGAACTGGAGAGTATCATGCTAAGGGAAATAAGCCGGTCATAGAAAGAAAAATATCACATGATCTAATTTATAGGTGGAATCTAATGTAATAATAAACTGATGAATGAAATAGAACCAGAGGCAGGGGTACATGGATCAGACTGAGGAATCTCAGAGGGAAGTAAGGAGGAGGGGCCAGGACAAGATTAACCCAAGAACTTATATGCATATTAAAGGCCTGATGCATGAAATTCGTGCAAGAGTAGGCCTTCCTTCCCCCAGCTGCCGGCACAGGCTTCCCTCTGGCATCTGGGACCCAGGCTTTCTCCGGCCTCTGGCAGACACCTGGGACTCAGGCTTCTCTCGAAGCTGAGGCTTCATCCAGAAGGTAATCTTGAAGGATATTTGGACAAATTAGCATATTAGGCTTTTATTATTATAGACTAGAGGCCTGGTGCACAAAATTAGTGCACTGGGGAGGGGCTGTCCCTCAGCCCAGCCTGCACCCTCTCCAATCTGGGACCCCTCAGGGGATGTCCAACTGCCAGTTTAGGCCCTATCCTAGATCGGGCCTAAACTGGCAGGCAAACATCCCTCTCACAATCTGGGACTGCTGGCTCTCAAGTGCTTGCCTGCCTGCCTGTGTGATTGCCCCTAACCGCTTCTGCCTGCCAGCCTGATCACACCCTAACCACTCCCCTATAAACCTGATTGATGTCTAACTGCTCCCCTGCCAGCCCGATTGCCCCCAACTGCCCTCCACTGCTGACCTGGTCGCCCCCAGCTGCCCTACCCTACAGGTCTGGTCCCCTCCAACTGCTGTTCCCTGCAGGCCTGGTCACCCCCAACTGCCCTCCCTCCCCTGCAAGCCTGGTCGCCCCCAACTGCCCTTCCCTGCTGGCCTGGTCACCCCTAACTGCCCTCTCCTGCCGGCCATCTTGTGACCACATGGGGGTGGCCATCTTGTGCGAGGGTGTGACAGTCAATTAGCATATTATCTCTTTATTATATAGAATATGCCAGACAATAGGTGGTTAAAGCCTGGGTTGGCACAAGAACAGGTGGAGGAGGGAAAATGGGGAAAATAGGGGAGAACATCTGTAATACTGTCTACAATAAAGATAAAAAAATAAAAATGTTATATATTTTATATAAAAAATAAAATAAATGCTGGAGTAGATGAATAGATCACTATATTTTAATTTTATGGGTCATTCATTTCATTCATAAAATAAATTAACATTATATACAAACATCTCCCTAAGTCCAAAGCCACCCACTAAATAGACTCAACTTTGCAAAATTGAATAAGCATAATTTTATATAAAATAATATTTTCATGTGAACTTTGACTTAGAAATAATTGCAAAGTAATGAACTTTCCTTCCCTTGACATGAGAGGCCCCTGGGCCTGCAGGTGCTGCCTCTGTCTCAGTCCAGCTCCAGGGAACAGGCCTCGCTGGGGAGCACCTGCCTCCCATGAGCACAGCACAGGTCATGCAGCAGAGACAGGCTCACACTCGGTCCCTCCTCTCTCCTCACTTCTCCCAGCAGGAAGTCCCTCCCATAGGGAGCAGCTCAGGAAGGTGTCCCAGGTCCTTGACCACAGAGAGTCTCTGAGACGCTGGACTCACCTGCTTCCAGAGGGACACGGGCACTGACTCTGGACCAGCAGGTGCTCTGACATGGGTGTGGACAGGAACCTGCTCCTGCTAACAGAGTCATTGTGGGACCTGCCCTCCCAGAGTCCACCTGAGACCCTGGGAGGACGGGAACCTGGAGGCTGACTCTCTGGGAAGGAGACTGTGATCTCATGATGGGCTAAGACTTCAGATGGAGGGAGGATCAAAGTGCAGAGCAGTTGTACCTTCTATTAAATCACTTAACTGAGATGCATCAACTGAAACATATATGAGGGAAACGGCTTTTGAACCTCCCTGAAGAGACCTAATCATGTGTGTTAACAGCAAAAGTAATTGTGAATCCAGGTGTATTTTTAATTTTATTTATTTATTTATTTATTTATGTATTTATTTATTTATTTATTTTTTTCACCTTTGTCACACAACTTTATTATGAAGCCTCAGGCACAGCCCGGACACAAAGAGCACGAAGGGAACCACAGGACGCTGAGGGCATCGCTGGCCAGTCCAGCTCCCTTGCCCCACCCCTTCCTTTAAGAGCTCAGTAACACAGCTCAGGCAGCAGTGGGCCTGGCCTCTGCCCTCACCTCCCAGGCTGGAGAACAGGTATGGGCCTGTCCAGGTACCCCTCCAGGCCAGTCACTGACATCTCCTCAGAGTCCAGAGCCAGCACCGTCCGGGCATCTTCTACTCCAGGACCCTCTGGTGTCTGCCCACTGGCTTTTGTCTTGTCCACATGGCACGGCACCAGGGTCTGGCCCTCTGCTGACCACCCCGGGGCTCCACCCAGGGCCGTCTCTGCCTCTCATGGGAGGGGTCGGCACAGCAGGGATGGACGGTGGGGACTGCGGTGGCTGCAGGGCCCGGGCTTGGTGACAGGAAGCAGAGGCCCAGGCAGTGAGAAACGCAGCCGAGCCACAGCCCAGAGGGAGGACAGCACGTGGGCAGCAACGCCCCAGGCGCTGGTGCAGCCTGAGGGCAAGGAAGACAAAGTGGTGGGAACAGCCACAGGCTGAGCCTGAGGCACAGACCAGCAGAGCACCCTCAGATGGCGGTGAATTTAATGGCAGAGCAGCTCACAGTTCACAGCCCTTTCTCCTGGGCCAGCTCCCCTCCAGCTGACCAGGGCCAGCCCAGCAGGGAGACATTAAAAACCCAAATCCTGACAGGAAGCACACACTGCCACGCATACCCACCGACACACATACTCGGGACCAGCACCACACACGCACCTTACAACTCACAGAGCAATTCAGAATCCACACCTTTGTGAACCACACCAGTGCAAGACGTCTAACTCAGAATGCTCAGAACCCTCTGGAAGCTGCAATTCTGGAAGCAGAAGCTGACGTCTGACCTTCTGTACAAGGGGAGGATCCGACAGTGGAAACTTCACTCAGTGTGAGAACCAAATCCCAATCTCACTCCTGCTTTGTGGTTATTGACTTGCCCATCATCGCTGGTTGCTGTCCACTCTGAATGCATGAATCTCTTCCTTTCCCTTATTATTGCAATTGTCAGGTGGACACAGGAGTCTCACTGCAGGTTTGGTGCTGAC